ACTTATTAGTCACAGTTATGTATATTTCATGGAATTAATTATATAGTTTTATATAATTAATAAATATAAATTTATACAAAGAAAGGGAATGAAATGTTAAGATAGCTTTTTTATATATAACGTATATATATAGTAATATGTATAATGTTTAATGTTCATATATTTATGTTCTTATCGTAATTATATTTTCTATCTATCCGCCGGAATTCATGAAAACCAACGTAACATATTCATGAAAACGTTCCTCTGAAAAAAATCCTCTGATGTATTTCGCATGCGCGAAAGTTTGGACCCGCTACGACAACGATTGCGATATGTATTGTGTGCAATTATATTGCTGTTTTCATAAATAGACGTTATCTGAATATATTACAAAGCGAACCCAAAAATATTGAGTTAAAGTGTAAGTATAGTTCCATTACGTTCATATATTATACATATATATGTACAAATTGTTACTGTATAACCTTAAAATACTTGCATGCACATTATTCTATTTTTCCAATTCTGTGATTCTTATTCAATTTCAGATATTTATTCTATTATTATGTAATTATACTTTTACATGATTTTGTCAATATTATTGCAGGATCATCAAAAGTGCTTCTCAGTTGTAAGGAGTTAACAGAGTTGTCAACAGAGCAAGCAAGAAGAGAAATTACAAAGAAAGTACAAGTTAACAGAATAAAGAAAAGTAAGTATTTCTTTTCATGTTTGTACTGATATATAAAAATGAAAGGTCGAGTGAAACCATTTGATAAACTGTCAAGATGGCAAAAAAATAGATGTTTAAATAAAAATATTGAAGACTTTGGTTTGTTGTGAAAGTATGATATTGAAGAAGATAATAAGTACAAATTTAAATATTACAAAAAAAGCAGAAAATGTTGGAAAATATCAAGTAGAGGAACTTTTTATTGAATCACGTTTAAGCAGTTCAAGTATGTCTAATGAGTTAGAAGAAGAAACTGATAATAGTGAAGACACAGTGGACAATGATGACAATGATGATAATATTACAGATAGAACTAGTGTCGAATATAATGAGACAACATTCTTATCAGAAATACAATTGTGGGCTGTAAAAAATAATATTTCTCATATTGCATTGTCTCAATTGTTAAAAATATATAAAAAATACCATCCAAATAAAGAAACTCCAAGTGATGCTCGAACTTTTCTAAATACACCAAAAAAATGTATTGTTAAATCATGTGTTGTTGGAGAATTTCTTTATTATGGTCTTGAAAAAGCTATACTTGATAATTTAAAATATAATAGTACTGAATTGGTCAGTAACTGTCTAATAATTGATATAAACATTGATGGGCTTCCAATTTCGAAAAGCACAAGTAGACAGTTATGGCCAATACAAGCAAAATTTGTCAATGTCAATAATTATTGTCGGCCTTTTATTGTTGGAATTTACCATGGTATGACAAAACCTTCTTCAGCTGAAGAATTTTTAAATGAATTCGTAAATGAATATTGTACTTTACGAGACGAAGGTTTTGATTACCATGGTAAACATGTTTTTCTTCAAATTAGAGCTGTAATATGTGATGCTCCAGCGCGTTCATTTATTAAATGTATAAAATATTCTAGCGGATATAGTGGATATGAACGTTGCATAATAAGAGGGGAATACAATAATAAAGTAGTATTTGTAGATTGTAATTGCGAGCGAAGAACTGATTACAGTTTTGAGAAAAAACTTGATACGCATCACCATGTTGGAATTTCTCCATTAGAGAAACTTAGAATTAGGATGGTTAGTGCTTTCCCATTAGATTACATGCACTTAGTTTTACTTGGTGCAATGAAGAGATTATTATTGTTGTGGACGAAAGGTATAAAAGAATGTCGCTTTAGTAGCCGTGATTATAATGTTTTAAATAAACGACTATGTTTAAATACAAATGTACCTTGCGAAATAACAAGGAAACCGAGATCTAATTTGAATGAATTTACTAGGTGGAAAGCTACAGAATTTCGCTTCTTTCTTTTGTATCTTGCACCTTTTATTTTATATGATATTATGCCAGATAACTATATTCAACACTTTTCTGCTTTTCATTGCGCAATTAGAATTTTATGCGATCTATTGAACTGCGTACATAACAAAAACTATGCAGAAAAATTATTAGTGTGGTTTGTACAAAATTTTAAATCTTTATATGGAACTGAAAACATAATATATTGTATACATAATTTAATACATCTTGCGGTAAGTACATTTGGAACATCATTGGATGATTTTAGTTGCTTTCAATTTGAGAACGAGATGAAAAATATAAAAAAATATTTACGTAAACACGATAAACCGTTACCACAAATTTTCAAAAGAATAAAAGAGAAAGCTGTAATTTCAAATATAAAAGATTTTAAACAGAAAACATATCCATTATTAATTAATAAAAGTACAACTAAATTGACTATTCCATTTGAAAATGATGCTTGTTATGAACGGATAATTTTTGAAAAGTTTACCTTACACACAACAATGCCAAATAATATATGTTACTTAAAAAACAACGGCATATATAATATAAAACATATTATAACTTTGAATGATGAAATCTTTTGTATAGGAAATAATATCACAGTTTACAATGTACCTTTTTATCCATTACCGTCCAATAAATTAGGTGTACATCTGATTAAAAGTGAAAGTGAGCTATTAGAAAGAATTACAATTAATCGAATTAAAGGGAAAGGTATAAAAATAAGATTAGAAAATTCTACTGTTGTATTGCCACTTATACATTCTTTTACATATTGACTTTTTTTATGGACAAGCATTATGTAATGTTCTGTATCAATAAACTTTTCAATAAACTTTTCAATACATTTTTATCAATAAATTTTTCCAAAGTATACTTTGACTTTTTGCTATCATATTATTTTACATTTTCTATGTTTTTTGTATTGTGAAATATTTACCTATCCCTATAGGTATGTAAAATACTTATATAATGAGAAGAGAGTAAAAATGCATAATAATATTAGTCAAGCAGTTTCAAATTGATTACATCAATATGACATCGTGCATTTCTATATACATATATATATATATTTAATATAGGTATTAACATATTCATTCTTTTGTACATTTGTATGTCCATCTATTTATTGTCAACATGTAACCATAAAAATAATATTGTACAATTAAAAAATAATTACAGATGTTTTATGTTGTTCATGCCGACACATGGTTTCAAACAGTACCAGAAATATGGGTGGATAAAAGTCACAAAATTATTTGTTGGCCATATGAAAAGAAATCCGTTACCTCCAAATGGATAAAGAACCAAGTACCGTGCAAGCCAGATTGGAGAGAACTCAATTATACATGTTTGTTCGGACCATTCGGTGAGTAAGGATGCAAAAGTTTAATATTAATAAATTAATAATTTTGTTAATTTTATTAACATAATATCTACATTCTGTCATGATTTCTTATAAATTGTTGTATATATTCCTCTTTATACTTTCTTATAGACAGTTATGAAAGCAGCATCAATTTTGAAAAACAATGTACAGGGTACTCGTCACAAGACGAAGTGTTGTACGAACAATACAAAAGTCATGAAATACCAGAAAAGAGAATTCGAAAAAAAAATCCAAAGTATGACACAGA